GAAATGCCAGGGAAGTCTAAGGAAGGGCCGACAAGGTGCACACTCGCGCACACGGGAACCACCTAAGGACAATAACCTAATTGGTCCTAGAAAATCCCCAGTTATTAATGGGGGAGGTGTCACTCTTCAAAGAGAGCTTTCTGATTTGGAGTTGGGTGAACTTCGTGAGTCCACTCCTGAAACTCATGTCACAAAGCAATTTGACAGAAAAAGTTCATTTAAACACTTGGAAAATAAAGCAGGCACTTCAGAGGACAAAAATTCAGATGTCTCTAAAGTAAAACCCTCATCAAAAGCTACTTTTGAATCAGGAAAACGATCCCCAGCCCTTGTAAGCTCTAGTTTTCCTAGCAATTTGGAAAGCACGAATAAAAGGAAGAATGCAGATGATCATTTTGAAGATTCAACAAGGTCCCATGTCAAAGCAATGCAGTCTCATCCGCAGCATGTGAAAGATCACATGGAAGTTGGTTCTCAGATTAACAAATTGCCTGAAACAAATGGTAAGTCTAGAAATAATGAAGCTGGGGTGAGTCAAGGTATTGATTTGGAAGGAAGGGAAAGCAATAGAAGAGGGCCCACTAATGCACTTAAGCATGACTCTAGACGTTCACATTCCATGATGGAAGTCGTAGACAAACACATAATCAATTGGAAGAGATGGCCGATGGAGGTAAGGATTCAGTTTTGGGAGAGAGAAATAACAGTGATCAAAAGAGGAGAGAATCTTCTTCAGATGAAAACAGTTGCTCTTATTCAAAGTATGAAAAGGATGAGCCTGAGCTTAAGGGACCTATAAGGACTTTCTCTCAGTAAGTGTCCAATCCTTTTTCTTTTCCATCTTTACTGCTTTAAAGCTCCTACTCCTGCATGTGATATGTATTTACTTTGCTATGCTAGATATAAAGAATATGTTCAGGAGTATCGTGACAAATATGATAGCTATTGCTCCTTGAACAAGATTCTGGAGAGTTACAGGTAACGAGCCATACAATTTAAGGTGTCTGAATTTCAGGTGGATTTTTGGTTTGTTGATCCAACGTCTCCCTGAAAACTTGCAGGAATGAGTTTCTTAAACTAGGCAAGGACTTAGAATATGCTAAAGGCAGGGACATGGATAGATATTATAACATCTTGGGCCAGCTGAAGGAATCCTATCAACGATGTGGAGAGGTATGTTCTATAGGGCTTCTCTTGCTATATATTATTGATATGGTAATCAAGTGTTTAGTTAATCCCATTTTTTATCATTTTATTGTTCCTCAACTGTTTCTGGGCCCTTTTCTTTGTTCGTATCAGATGTACTGACTTCATCTGTATACTTTCTGTTTCATAATCTTTTGTGCATGATTTGAGTTGCAGAGGCACAAGAGGCTGAAGAAAATATTTGTCGTGCTTCATGGGGAACTCGAGGTAACTATATATATATATATATATTATCTTCTTCTGGACCTGGGAAAAAATTTCCATAGCCACAGTAACCTCTTTCTGTATATTTCCTCACACCTATTTTACCTGGTTGTGCAGCAACTTAAGCAAAGGATCAAAGACTTCGCTCACTCGTAATATAAGACTGCTGATAGCAAGTACCTTTGTGTATTTTATACAGAAATTAAAAACTCTTCCTTCAGGCTTTAGAAGTTCGAGGTGGTACATTACAGTCAATAGAGTAGATAAATTCTTGTGTAGATTTGATGTCCTGCTTGTCCCTGCCCCCTCCAAATCTCATTGTAACCATAGACCTGTACATAATTTTTTTTTTTTTTTTTGGGTTCATGTACATTTCTCCTCAGCCCAGGTCCGGCATTTTTGTTTAGCCTGACCTTTTTAATGTTTAATCCTGGGAAGGACATTTGATCAATTTAATTTTTCTTTTCCTTCTGAAACAAACAGGTTGAGCTAGGCTCAGCTGGGAAGAGTTGTAGGATCGACGGTGAAGTTCATAATTTATTTAATCTTAGGTTGTTCAGCATGCAACAAAGAAATCGATAAATACAAGGAGGAAATCTTCCCACAGCGTGCTGTTTGCGCTTGGATGAGGTTCATCGGTCCTTGTCCAAGAATTTTCACAATTTTGGATGAGTTTTAAATGAATTATAATTATAATTGTTTAATTGGCTAAGATTGTTTAAGATTAAAACAAAAATTAATGACAATTCTTTAGATTAATTAAAAAAAGTAAAAAGTGTATATTACTAGATTATAGGTTCATATTTTTTACATGGAGTCAGGTGATTTGTGCGTATAATGTGGTTTTTTCTAGTAAATTTTGTATACTACCTCCGGTTCTAATTATAAGAGCCAGTTAATTAATTTGAAGAGATTAAATAAGTTGAGTTAGTTATTTATTCTAAATAGGTGTTTTTTTTAAAATATCCTTACTGATCAAGTGTATTGACTAGAACTATTATTGTTATTATTGTAAAAGGGTTATTTTGGGAGAAAAAAAGTGTAAATATGAGAGATAAAGTGAAGTGGAGTTTTATATTTATGATCAAAATAAAAGTCAAACAGGATTTGTATTAAAGACGGGACGGTAGTATTACTGTTATGTTTTGCCTATAATCCGTCAATTAATTCGCTGTGATGAATTTGAGTCTAGGAATCGTGAAATGGTTGCAAATTGAAAAAAAAGAAAATTGTATCAACCTCCGTTTAAAATGTATGACAAGAGGGGCGATATCTATAAATAGATTTTTAGAAAAAGTTTTTTATGAGATAATTATCTTAATTTAATAAAAAAAATTATATCCATAATGTATTTCACTAAATTTTGATGGCAAGTATTCCGAAATCGCAATTTTTTTGCTAAATTTTATAAAGGTGAGATAGAATGGAGAATAAGATTGGCCCACCTAACGGTTAACGAAAGTTGACGTATATTAATATACTGTTTCTAACAAACTGCCTATAATTTATATTTGGGGTAATACTCCTCCGATTCTTAATATAAGATCTATTTAATTAATTTGATTAGATTAAAAAAATTAGATAAGTTAGTTAATTATAAAAAATATGACATTTTTCTTAAAACACCATAATCATCTTCCTTAATATCCTATTTCCCTTTTTTATTTGATTATGAGTGAAGAAGTATCCATAAGGATAATTTAGAAAAAAATTGATAACTATGAAAAATTCTTATATTTAGGACTAAAATCAACTTAACAATCAAGTTTTATATTAAGGATAGGAGGAGTACAAAATTTGTACTTCAAGTTTATCTTCATTTTAGTTTTGGTCCTTTAAATTTTAAACTATGGGTTTTGCTTCCTCAAGTTTCTTTTCATTTATAACATTGATCCCTATAATCCAATAAAACTTGAATCATTTTGCCCTTTCATGGACCAAAACCTATAGTTTAAAATTTGAAGAACTAAAATCAAAATAAGAACAAACCTAAAGGATCAAAGATTATATTAATCTTTTATATTTTACTACAGAGTAATTAATGTGAGCCAGGTCAAAGTGTACCCAGTTAAGTGATCTCCTAATAATTGTGTGTTAAAATTTAGATTCCAGCCTTTGCTTAATGATTTTTTATCATTTAATTCAACCCTTATTACTTAACAAAAATTGCTTTTTCAACATGCATACATACATAATGATGATCAATTTTTCATTAAACATCTACATACATATAGAACATTGTAGCTAAATTCCCATCGGTCGAATAAAGCTTATTGTTGCTGTTGGCAAAAAAAAATGCTTGTTGTTGCTCGAAAAAACAATAAATTTGATTGAAAAGTTTGGTTAATCAAAAAATCGTATAGGCAATGGACATTTTGTTCGAAGCACAAGTATTTATTCTTTCTGACATGTTTTCTAACTACTCGTTTGGATAAGAGAAAATAAGGGGGGAAAATGAAAAGAGAAGTTTTCTCTTATTTGGAAGAAGAAGAAAACGTTGGAGTATTAAAAAACTAAAGAGGAAATAGAATGTAAAACCCACCCTATTTTCTCTCTTACTTTTCTCTCTACATACAGAGAAAAAATGAAGAGAAAACTCATTTTCTTTTCACGCCCTCCATATTTCATTTTTATATTATATTTTTAGTATTGCATAACGTATAATTCATTTATTTTCTAAGAAGACGAAAGCAGCCTCTTTGCAACAATACTCGCCATGAAACATTAGAGCAAGCAAGTTCTAGTTCCCGCTAAGCGCCTGTTTAGTGAGAGGAGAGCAGAAATTTTACTGATTTTTCGTTTGGTTTAAGAGGAGAGAGGGATAATTAAAATGCACCATCCTCTCTAAACCCCCTGATTTAGAGGGGAGGGCCAAAACCTCCCAACGACTGAGGTAAAAGGACAAACGGAGAGGAGGAGACGTGGGAATTGCGGAATGCCTCTGCAATAGCAGTATTCGAAGCCGCTAAAAACATATGCATCTTATTTCTTTTCCTTGAACTGATTTGTCACATAAATACTCATTCCGGAGCTAATGCTTTCATAGATTCAGGGCTGAAGACTACAAATTGAAATGCATTTTTCATATTCAAGTGCTTTTAAGGAAACACAAAGGTTACATGACACACTTCCAGCTCAATACCTAATTCTCCTTCTATCCCAACCCTTCCTTGTCCATGAAAAATGCAGACGCCGGGGCAAAAATAATTTCAGCGAGACAAGTCGTGGGAACAAGTCGCCCAACAGCAGTGCCGCTGCAGCTGCATGTGCAGTTTAGCTGCCTCTTCTAGAGAATGGGCAGAAGAATCGGATTTTTCAGCCAGATAATGCTCAAGCATATCATCCTCATCATCTGTTATCACACATAAAAGATATGATTTGTCAGAATTTTCAAAATTTTGAAACATTAATTAGAAAATAGAGAAGTAATTGATTTTGACGATGTAACATCATATCAATCTTGACGGGGAGAGAAAAAGCAGACCTTCCAGATCATCATCATCAAAGTCAATATCATCCTCATCCTCCTCGTCAGATCCCTCAGTGACGGGTGCTGCACCTTTCTGTGACAAAACAGGATTGACTAATTATATTTTTATTAACAAAAATTTTGAATCATCGAACTGCTAGGATCTTTCGTTTTGCAGCCAGCATGAACAACGCTGCCCATCCCATCACTTTCTTCTTCAAACTAAGAATTACTTTTAGCAGCATTGTTCTACAGGACTCTCTCAAACTGGGTAATACTACAGCCTCATGATGCAGCTAGTGCAATACCATAAGGGCAATAAGTTCAAAAGGTCTAGAGTTAACAGCCTGATGTAAATGTAATGCGAATTTATGACCATTTAGCAGCCTTACAGTACATTTTTCTCAGCAATCAGGTCAACCAGAGGGGTCAAAAGGATTCTTCGAAGTTGAAAAAATACCAACACCTCTTTTTTTTTTTTGGCCAATACCAACACCTCATAAATTCTTAAAAATTATAAAATTGTTAGGGAAGTGTTAAAAAGTAAATATTCCAACCTAACGTTGGACTACATAAGAGAAAGCAATAATATAGGAATTCGGAAGTCAAGTACCGTTGAAGCTCTTCCACTTTCAAACCACTGTCTACCAGTGAGCTTCTTTTCCTTCGGTGCAGTAAGTGCGGACTCCGGCATTAGCCTGAATGCAGCACAAAAGATTTTCCATCAGTATAACAAGTTAGCAATAATAGGAGCGGCTGACTCTCTTATTATCTGACGCTAAACAGAACATATAACAGTTCATCCAGTACGGTGAATTCAAAATATACTCTTTAGCTCAATTTTAAATTTTTTGACTAAAATATCATCCACTGATCTGAATACACAAATATGTATTATAAACAATATCCACAAACAAAAGTACAATAATGGAGAGTATTTTAGTTAAAAAATTTAGAATTGAAATCAGGTGTGGTACAATTTTTGTTTAGGGAACGGTCCACGTATATTTTAAAAATAGAGAAGATTGTAGAATTCCAGGAAAATTCAGGGAATATTCATGTAATTTGACTCTACTTTCTAAGAATATAGTTAATTCAAAATATAACCAAAAATTGATCACAATACATGTTAATTGAAAAGGACTAAAAGTCTAAAAACAAATGCCATGATGCACAATAGCACCTTAGCAGCCACCTGAGTAGCTAGTTTATGACTGCAACTCAATTAAAGAACACCCTTAGTACCCTCAATATTATTTAAAAAACAGAAACCGGGAGATCTAGAATTGCATGTCCAACTATAAAGGACTTACTTGGCTCGTTCCAATGCCAGTTCCGCTTCAAACCTTTCTCTCCATGCCAAAAATGTTTCAACAGTAACTGGTTCCCCATGCGGTACTACTATCTGGGAAAGATGACAAACAAATCTGTGTCATGCAACAGTTTCAAGTTCCAATTTACAGGAAAACACAAGAAATTACAAGAGGAATATGATAAAATGAAAATTATATTCTCATCTTAGATAGAAATCAAGCTACGAATATGAGAAGGCAAACAAACCACTGGTGCTGTCATCTGTGCTACTGTAAACGTTGAGAACAAGAGGATTATTCTTCAAACCATTGACAACATCAAATAATTATATATACAAATGAACGTACATCCCATGTGACCATCTGCCACACATATAGTATGCAGAGAGCTTTCTGATAGAAACAAGTTGTTTAAACCTTAAAGACTTTTTATTTTGCAGACATTTCTTTTTATTGTGAAGAAGTTATTAATCAGGTCCTCTCCATAGTTTTTACTCTGTACAATCAGAACAGGATATATTGGCCTTTTCTCATATTTCTCCTATTCTATATATTTGTGCTCTGATTTATCAGTTAGCCTTACTTCTACATGCGGAACCAGATTTATAAACTCTATAACCCTCTTTCTTGACACTAAGCTCCACTTTCTTCATTCCAATTACTCCTATGGTCTCTGCCAAGCACCCTTCTGCAAAAGGTGTTAGCACAAAACTTGGTACAAGAATCACGGCACATAAATCACATGTAAGCAAGCTAAAATGGTTTATTTCCATTTTTGAAAAGTCAACTTCAACAGATAAAATCCAGAATTGTCATGTAATAAAAATGTTATAACATGATGTAATATTCAGCCTCAGCTATCTTGCTGCAGTAACACACTAAAAAATGCGCAGAAAAGACGTCCATATTAGAAGTCAACATAAAAAAAAAGTTAGAGGGAAGACCAGAACGCAAAAGAGACATTCTTACATCATCTTTGGCAGCCTCTTCAGCTTCAGCGTCTCCATTTGTATCGTCTTGAAAAAACCGTTCAGATAACCACTCTTTAGCTGAGGTAACTAGAGTGTAGATCATCGCCATACCAAGATTTTCCGATGCCTGTGGACCACAAGTTTTATGCACAAGCTTTCATTATATAACCAGTATATGAATTGGATTTTAAATTCTAAAACCATCAAAAACTGCGCAACACAAAAATGTGTACATAAAAACTGAGAAAAAAAACTAAGTGTGGTGGTTGAAAAGTCTTCCAATCTGGAAAATCATTCAATACAGTCATAGCAGAAAAGCCCGATACATTCATTTCAAATTGCTTAAGATTAAAGACCACCTCTTCCTGAAGTTTCTCTTTCAAAATCCTTAAATCTTCACTAGATATACCCCGCAAGCTGAAAAGTCAAGAGGAAATAGAAAATACATCTTGTTAGAGAATACAATGAAACTATTCATAGGCTTTCACTCAGCAGTTGAAGCTCTTCAGTTAAAGTGGTTTGAACAGTTGAGGCTCTTCAGTTAAAGTGGTTTGAACAGTTGAGGCTCTTCAGTTAAAGTGGTTTGAACAGTTGAAGCTCTTCAGTTAAAGTGGTTCTTCAAATGGTCTCAATGTCTCTATCAAGAGTTTAATCCCCATGCCCTCATTATCACTTGAAATTTAGTCTCAAGACATGGTTTGGTACCATAAGCTTTGTCCAATCCTCAGGCCCATAGGGCTTCGATGTCACTAGAGAACATGATAGAACTGTTCATGGGCTTTTACTTAACAACTCAAGTTGGGACTAGAAAGAGGTTTGTGACAAATCTTCACGTTGATCTATAATAAAATAAACAAAATAACATGCTAGAGAACTATGCTTCATACTGAATGAACAGAGACAACCATAAATGATAGAGAGTAGTCCTGTCCTCCTGATGCGCTTAAAACAGTGACAAAACAATAAAATTGACCTCTTCAAATTCAGAAGTGGAGGTTCATCTGGATACTTCTCTGTGTGTGAGAAGATCAAAGCCAATTGAACTGCAACAGAAATTTCAAATACATTTGGAGTCAGAAGATCCTATATAGAAAAGATAGTAAACTAATGAAAATTCATAGCACAAATTTGAAAAGAATAAAATAACAGTATCTTAGGAAGAAACCCAAAAGATATTTAGAGCTCCAGAGAAAATAACCTGGATCTGTCATTGACTCATCTGTATCATCCTCCTGTATGTCATATTGCAAATAGACACATATAAGTTTAATGCATGTGATGAGGAATACCGAATTTCCCAGGTACTTGCCATCAGCAGCAGAAGGAGATGGAGAAATAACAGAAACAAGCCTAACTTTTAAACCTACTAAGGCCAAAATTCTGAGTGTGCATAGATTACTTTATAACGAAAGGAAAAAAGATTAATTCCATATGTTGTCCAAAACAAACACAGGTCTTTTTGTTTAATGTAAAATCTGCTATTCCTTTCTTGTTTATGTTTTAAAACTTGAGAAACTACAATAAAGGAAGGGAGAACATTTACCTGCGCAGATACTTTTATCTGAAAACATTTACTGGAAGTACTTAGGCCACTTTCACCAGAGTGTATCTCTATCACAAACAGTGAAACAGAATATTATGCCTTCTCCCAAGAGGAAATAGTAAGGAAAAGCAGTAAATTATTCTTTTTCCAAAAAAAAAAAAATGCTTGATGAAAGAGAACCCTATACCTTTGAAATCATCCATAAGTATAGCTTCCAAAGCTTCTATTTCCATTTCTTGTTCTTGTGCATAGTCTGTGTATGTGGTCAAGTTTAGTGACATTCATGATGTAATAATGGCACACAACACAAGTATAACATATTGCCCTATGAATTGCTTAGCAATATTCCATAGCATGAAAGTAGACACTCACCCTTTATTTGAATAAAGCACAATTCAGTTCATCATTATTCCTCCTAACAAAGTGCGTTGTACAAACAGCTCAAGAAACTGTTACATTTTATGCAATAATATAACAAATTTATTAAAGATATAGAAAGCCATTATTTAGGATTATGGTCTACTATTCTATTATTTATTTTCTAAACTATCTGCAGACCTTCACTCAGACATGAAAATAATCGAATTTACATGTCCGTCAGCACAACTGCACAAGGAGATGAGGAAATTCGTATTTCATTATGTACAAAAAAATCAAGGATCTTCAAAACTTGGCCCATGGAAGACTTGTTTAAAAGGCATCTGGCATTTAATGAAGCAAAAATATCAGTCAGATACAGCAGCTACCCCCCCCCCCCAAGCGACTTGGTTAAAAGGGTTCAGATTGCGGTTTTGAAATCTGTAGTAATAACAGTGTGGTAATAATAATACTGTCAGGATTGTAAGTATTGCAGGGCCTCGGTAAACATTACAATTAGGAGCAATGAAGTCCATCAAGCAGCAGGACAGTATCCATTTAAGCTATATCCTAGTGCAAGCAAGACCAATTTCACACATTTTAAATATGATGAAGAATTCCGTGTTGGTGAAGAATTCAAGCAACATAATTTCACTGAACAAGAAACAGTCTTGAATGATAACAAGCTCAAAAAGATCAGAATGCACAACTGAAGTAAATAGAACAAAGTTTATCGCTTTCTGAATGAAACAGATATTTCGTGAAAAATTGCAAATACCTGTCATAGTTGGAATCTGCCTGATTTCTGGATTCTTTCGTTATTTACAGAGGCCCCTGAGTTCGATGAAGTAGGCAGATTGCCCACGAGCATACACAATCCCAGACAAAAGCCAATTATGCGAAAAGACCCTAGAAGCAAACCCCGTCTTAAACGTACCGTTTAACCCCCTGTAACCTTTTTCATTTTTTATTACAGGTTAACTAGTGATAAGTTGAATTTGTATGGATCTTGAAAAGATTTGTTTAAAAGTTGATTGGTCTGTCAAAGTGGACAACCCGCTAACACTTATTTATTTTTTAAATTTTTTTTACTTTTTAATTTTTTTTCTTATGCAATATCCAAAAAATATAATGAGATTTTTGTTTTTTATTAAAATATTTGATTGAAAACATCAAATAAATTATTTAGATGTTTTTATAATAATTTTAGATATGATATAATATATAATAATATAATTATAATAATTTTAAAAAAAATGTGGGTTAGCCATGCGGGCCTTGCGGTGTGAGTTTAAAAGATTGTTTACTGGGGTTGGTAGATTGGACTCGTGAGTTCAACTCATATTACCAGTTCTACTTGATATCTTGTAAATGTCAGAAATCCTTTTGTTTAAGAAAAAGAAAAATCATAAATAAAGACCCTTAAATGTATAAAATTGTAAAATGAGTTCTTGAATTAATATAATTACTTGAACAAACCGAATCTTAATTTGCAATTATGAAATAATAAAGAAAATACCAAAATACTATTTTTTTTCTCCTCCTCCTCCTCCTCTCCTCTCCTTCCTCTTCCTTCTCCTTTTCCCCCAACCCCCTCCTCATCCCCACCCCTATCTTCCCCACCCCACTTCATCGTTCCTACCCCTACCCCACATTACATCTTCACCCTTGCTAAATCCCCAGCGACGTGAGAACACTTCATGACAAAAAATGCAGAACACTCATTGCTATTCATTATCAGACGCTATCGTAGAGAGTGAGAATTATCATGGCAGTCTCCCTTGTATCTTTTCTTGAATTAACCTCCTCCATTTCTCTCACTTGCTTGTGGCATTGTGAACATTAAATGGGTGACTATGGAGTTGCTGTACCACCCCCATGGAGTAGTAAGTGAAGGCAAAGAGTGTGCCATCTTTTGGCAGTACTTTCATAACATTTTTCAAACCTGATTTTCTATCAATCCTTCGAATTCAAATGGCTAATTGCAAAAACTGACTGTTGTCAAAACATTTATAGTTTTTTGTTATTTGACTTATCATTGTTGTAATTTCACTTAGTAATATTGTAATTGCAAACTTGTTATTATAATGGAAATATTATGACATGACAATCTGAAAATATTAGTCTTTTATTTATGGGCATAACAACTTTAAAATTTTATATTTATTAGTTCTAATTGATAGGAATGTAGATCTATTTAATATTCTGAAGTTAACAAGAAACCAGTCACAGGCTTGTAATTTTATTCACTAAACTTATTATTTAGCTTACCATTTTTGTCATTTGGCTTACTATTATTTTCACTTAGTAGTGAAATATAGAAATAATGTTAACTTTTTATGAAACGTAATTTTATGAGAAACCCAGTCACATAATTGTTATTTCACTTATCACTCTTGTCCTTTAGTAGTAAAATGTGAAAATAATAGTAATTTTTCATAAAACTTAATTTTATTATAAACCTAGTCACAAGCTTATAATTTTGTTTACCAAACTTATTATTTGGCTTACTACTATTGTCATTTGGTTTATCGTTTTAGTCATTTGGTAGTGAAGTGTGAAAATAATGACAACTTTTTATAAAACTTAATTTTATAAGAAACCCGATAACAAAATTATTATTTTACTTACCACTTTTGTCATTTTACTTACTACTCTTATCGTTTGGAAGTGAAATACGGAAACAATGATAACTTTTCATGAAACTTAACTTCATCATAAACTTAGTCATATGTTTGTAATTTCGCTTAGCAATCTTGTTATTTGGTAGTGAAATATGAAAATAATAACAACTTTCCATGAAACTTAATTTCATCTAGAACCTAGTCACATGCTTGTAATTTCACTTATTAAACTTGTTATTTGGTTTATCACTCTTATCATTTGGTTTACCGCCCTTGTCATTTGGCAGTAAAATGTGAAAATAATGGTAACTTTTCATGAAATTTAATTTTATCAGTAATACAGTCACATGTTTATGATTTCACTTACTAAACTTGTTATTTGGCTTACGACTCTTATCATTCGGCTTATCGGTCTTGTCATTTGGCAATAAAACGAGAAAATAATGGCAATTCAAGTTGAAACATTTAATAATCTCAAATTCAAATGTTATTTTAACAATATATAATTGTCATTAATAAATCATGACAGTGGCCACTTATCAACAAAATAAACAATATTAAACCTATCTTAAATATAATAATAGTATGTATAATTTATCTCCATTTTTCTATTGAGACTGTCTATGGAGATTTCGTCCTTCTTTTGGACTTTTATCCCTTGTCAGCCCCTGCAAGTTAAGTATATTAATAGTATGTACAATTTATCCCTATTTTTCTATTAAAGCTAATTACATGTTGGTTCACATTACCTGTTACGAAAGATAATTGCTCATCAAGAGGCCGCTTACATGCCATGAAAGCTAACTATATATCAGAAAAGGTAATTGAATAATTGATAATTGGGAAGATTGATTGCATATTGTGAAAACTAATTGCATACTATTTCCGGTCTTTAATATATGAACTAGTTAAGTAATTGGAGTAAATTAAGAAAACTAGTTAAGTTAGTTATTTGTAATCAATAGATATTGTTTTTCCTAAAATATCTTTACTAATCAAGTGTATTGGCTAAAACTATTATTATTATAAGAACCGGTTTGGAAAAAAATGAATAAATGTGACAGATAAAGTGGATTGAGGTTTTATATTTAAGACTAAAATAAAAGTCAAATGAGTTTTTATATTAAGCACATGAGGTAGACTAAAATAAAAGTCAAATGAGTTTTTATATTAAGTACATGAGGTAGTATTAAAAAAAGTCAATTGGATATCATGAAAGCTAATTGCATACAAGGAAAGATAATCACATAGAATAAATTAAAATCTCATTATAGAAAATTATATAAACATTCATGACATTATGCTAGTGATATAACTATTATATAATTAAATTCAGTTAGTATATTAAAATTTGAATATGAACCTACGTTTTTATTGAAGCCCTAATGAGACTAGCAAAATTAATTAGGCATTTCAGAATTTAGTTAAGTAACCCAACTTCCACTCTTTCTTTTTTCCAAGCCAACTCATTTTTTTATGAAGCCACATCTACCAGGGACCAATTTTCACTCCACTTACGGCTAATAGTAGCCATCGGAGCGCCAATCACTGGTGCAGATGGCAACTAGTCACTGACATATTTGACTTTGGAGAAAAAGAGGTTGTTTTTTTTGGGGGGGGGGGGAGATTGAGGGCAACTTAGTTATTTAGCAAGATTTTGTAATACTCAATTAGTCCTCTTAGCTTGAAAAGGAAGTTGCTAAAAGTGGAGGTTTAAACATGAATTTTAGTATTTTATCTGGATTTAATTATAAGTTAAATAGATATTTCTCATGGTTAGAAGTTAATTAAGAAAGGTTATACAAAATCCGAGATCAACTATGTGAACGGTTATTTTGTTATTTATAATTTATAATTTGTAAATGGTAAATACTTGCCCATTATACAGTTGATATTTGATCAGTGACCATGAGCCTCGAGAAAAAATTGTTTTTAGAATAATCACAATTAAAAACTTCATAAAAAATTAATATAAGATGAGGACCTCAAAGTGATAAAAATAAAAATTTGAGTTGTAAATTTAGGAATTTCAGTTATAAACTCAATCTTATTTTTGTATTAATTCCCTTACATGGTGTTTACTTATCATTCTTCTTTTATATTTCAAAGCACAAGCTTTTTTTTATAACCGGAAACCACAGGGTCAGAGTAAGTGCATTTGCCCAAGAGTCAAGACATCCACCTTGGACCTTGGTCATATTAATATTACTATAAAATATAAATTTTATCATTTATATCAAAAATTATATGAGAGTATAAAATCCTGGTCATATACATAACTGTTGTATATTTTAAGTTTGCAACATTTTCACTGTTTTAATGGAAAAAAATGGCACTCACTCACAATTGACAATTCACACCCAATTATTTTTCTTATCTTTTTTTTTTTTTGCCATCACTTATTTTTCTTATCATGCTCTTCCTCTCTCTTATATATTTTTATTTAATACTATCTTTACTCCTTGATATAAGACTTCCTTTTACTTTTATTTTAACCCTAAATATAAAACCTCAATCCACTTTATCTTTCATATTTATTTTTTTTCCAAGATAGTCCTTTTAATAATAGTAGTTTTAGCTAATAAACTTGATTAGTAAGGATATTTTAGAAAAGACAACATTATTTATTACAAACAACTAACTTAATTCATTTCCTTAATCTATTTAAATAAATTAATTAGCTTTTATATTTAAGAGTGGAGATAGTATAAAGAACAATCGGGTAGTTGACTTCTTTTTTTGAGCAAAGCATCATCAGTTGACTTGTTTTGAGTCACTTTGAGGACAATAAAATATCACACTCATTTAGTTCTTAACATAAAACTTATTTAACTATTTAATTATATTAAAAAAGTTAGATAAGTTAGTTAATTATAAGAAATATGACATATTTTTTTAAAACACCACAATCATCTTTCTTAATATCTTCCCTTCTTCTTCTACTCGATTGTAATTGATAAATATGAGAAATATATTTTATGTTTAGAACTAATATCAGGTTAATAATTAGATTATATATTAAGAATAGAGGCATATTATATTATACAAATAATCTCCCCAATGCCAGCGAAAAAAATAATAAAGAAAACAGATATGTCAAATAGAAAGCCCTTTGCTTTGTTCATAAAAAAACCCTAAAAAGGAATATATATATATTTATATAAATATGTGTGTGTGCATGTATGCAAATATTTTTTTTCCAAAAAGCATAATTTTAATGTAATAATATACTTCAACAAATTTATATATATAAAAAAGTAAACACATATTTATTCAGAAGGAGGAATTTTGTAAATATTATAAAGCAGTTGACAAAGATAAAAAAATACCATCTTCATTATTGTTATGCTTTTTTGGTCCTTCATTATTTTATTATTGCACTATTTTTATTTTCTAGGTTTTCAATTTTCAATATCTGGTATTCAAAAAACGGGCCCTATATTCTCCAGTATTTATTATGTATATTTACCCTTCCCTTCCTTTTACCGTATAAGTAGAACCGTATACAAGTATCCATTTTCTCTCTCCGGCGAAAATAAGCGCCCTGTCTCTCTTGGCATAAAGATACCAAAAGGTTTGTTTGATCCAAACTGAAGCTCTCTCTTTCCATTTCCAGGACCTGTGCTTTGCTCCGCTCCACCTCACTCGCTCTTCGCACTGTATGCGTGGCATGGATGAGCCTCTGGTGTAATCTCAGCACGAAACTGCTAGTGGGAAAATCAGCAAATCGCTAAAACTATTACAGTGTGTCCATAAAAATGCCAAAAACAAGCCTCAGATGCTGAAAAACAATACACATATTAGATCCCTTATTTCAGCGGTGATTTCATTCTGCTTCTTTTCTGTGCCACTGCTGCTTTAGATCTTCATCCACAATAAATCCTTTCCATCTGTGCCCCGAGTTTGTCCGTTTTATCCTCACAGCTCTGTCTGGGTATGCTGGCCTTGTTCTTCTAATCAATTTCTTCAGTTTTTTTATTTGTACTCTTTGCTATGCTTTTCTGGGTTTTTCTGCTCTTCTCTTTTTAGGCATGCAAGATTATAATTTCTCAGATTTTTTAACGTTTTATCTTTTCTGGGATTTTAGGCTTGAAGGGTGAGAGCTTCTTTCAGTAAAAGGGAAGCTTTTGATCATTTTCCATACTTCGTCTACTTATCAATGGCAGGTTGAGATTTATTTTGCGATTTCAAGCTCTTGATTTTCTTTCTTTGTTCGCTTTGGGAAATGGGTAGCTCGGGAGAGTCCAACTCCAACACCAACGAAATCGATGCGTCGGTCGGTGGTTTGGTTTGGGTCCGTCGCCGCAATGGTTCCTGGTGGCCTGGCAGGATAATGGGCCTCGATGAATTGTCTGAGAGTTGTTTGGTTTCGCCGAGATCGGGCACTCCAGTTAAGCTGTTAGGTCGCGAGGACGCAAGCGTGTGAGTGCTTGTTATTGTTTTATACCTACTTTATTGACCTAATAATCTTGCTTTAAGTTTTGTATTTTTTTTTTTCAATTTTTCTCCCTCTTCATTTTGATTTTGCGGTTTGCAACTTCTATTCATTTCCGTCTTAATTGCTAGTTCCAAAATCTGGTTCCTGGTATCGCTCGCGTTGATATAGCTAAATGACTATGTGCTTTTTTTTTCCCCCCTGAGATAATGCGTTTGTCACGAAGTTGTAATATCTGGTAGAATGCGTTGGCATAACCGTTTCCCATCAAAAGATTTATCAGTTCACTCTTTTTGCACTAACCTTTGCATCTTCAAGTCTTTCTTTTCATTTTTCTAAGTTAAAGGGTTTGTTTGGACTGAAGTGAGCTATGGATGTAAATATGGTAGGTAACTTTACTACTTTAGACTTAAGGCCTGACATGGCTGTTTCTCGACGAGTCAGTATTAGGGCTCAGAGACAGTTAGTGATCTTTCTTCGCATTTCATGATTGCCAAGCAGCTTTGTAAAGAGTTTTTGGCATCCCATTTAAGATAATGTTTTAGCAATGAAGTTTTGGAAGCCAGAAGGAGCATCCTTTAACTATGCACTTTGCTGGCTGGCATGTGGTTTTTATGGATGAATTTTGTTGGAGAGAATTGTTTTTATTTTTTTATTTTTTTGCTTCCTTCGGGTTTCAGCTTATGGTTATCTTAGAAGGCTGTTCCTCATGGATGTACAAAAAGAGTGGAAAACTCTTTTGAGCCGATGTATTCCTTTTGTTCCCTAGATATATTTCTCTTAGGGAGATTCCTTGTCCTCTGTTATTGTATTATCTTCTTAGAAAGCTGTTCCTTATGGATATACAAGAAGAGCGGATAACTCTTATGAGCTAATGTTTTCCTTTTGTTCCCCAGCTATATTTCTCTTAGTGCGATTGTCATTGTATTATCCTGAGAGCCCAGTTTAATAAAAGTCTTGCATTGTGATTATATTGTGTGTTAGGAGAATCTAATAATTAGTGCAAGTGCATATGCAAAACATGGCTGCAAGTATGGCCTTCATATCTTATTATCACATCATGGTTAAATTTGTGTTGATTTTTGATGAAACGTAGGAGTTGTAATAAGTGTTGCCAAATAAGATAATCTGAACTAGTGATTAGTCAATTGTTTGGTTGAACGATTATTGTGGAATAATGCATTGAGGTTTGTGTGTAATCTGTAGATTACTGCTTGTTGTTGGCATTTTACGATTGTCGTCTCGTGGTACTCTCTGTAGCTGGAGACCTTTGTGTAATCTTTGTTGAAACTCATAATGACATTTTTTCTTTTGTTAATTGGATGGAATTCAATTGGTGTTGCAACAAAGGGTTAGATTTCCAGAAAATGTTTTCCTTCCTTTTGATTTATTGTTGTACATTCTTGCACTGTCTTGGAATAGGTGATCAAATATGGTGCTCTTGCATTCAGGCTTATATAGATATTCCTATATCTTATGCTTTCAGCCCAAAAAACTTGTCCATGGGTTTCTTTCAGTCCTAGGCTGAGATGTTAGGGTGTAAGATGTCTACTTTGTATCTGCCTTGATAAGCCGGAAAAATGAACTTTTAAAATAAATAGAATCTACTTTAGAAAGAAAGATTTGTTGTGCTAATATTGTGGCCAATTATTTTGATGTAGCATTCTTTTTTAATAGGTGTGAGGTACTTTTGCACTGTAACCTTTTCCTAGCTGTTAGATACATGTCTTCCTAGGTTTCTGTGATTCAGATTCCAGTTATTTCTCTTGAATTTGTTGCTGTTGGTGCAGAGTTCTATTAATGTATTTACATGGTCTCCTTTTGGTGAAATCTGTTCTGTGATACAGGGATTGGTATAATCTTGAAAAGTCAAAGCGGGTAAAACCTTTCCGTTGCGGAGAGTATAATGAATGCATTGAAAGAGCAAAGGCATCTGCAGCCAATGCAAACAAGAAGGCAGTGAAGTATGCTCGCAGAGAAGATGCAATCCTCCATGCCCTTGAACTTGAGGGTGCTCGCCTGGGCAAGGAACCATTAAATTTCTCCAGAGAAGATAAATCAGCCAGTGAACATGGTGTTGTAACTGGAGAATCACCAGTCGTGTCCAATTCTGGTGATGATAATGATGATATTACTGATGATCTCAGTGACTCTGAAGACAATTCTAATTCAGCTCCAGAATTATCTCAATCTGGTATATCTTTTGAAGAGCCGAATCACAATGGTTCTTCCAAGGTGCAATCTGTTCATGGTAGGAGAAGAAGAACCCCTAATGACTCAGAAGATGATGGGACTGAAGGAGTCAAGAGAATGAGAGGACTTGAGGACCTGGGCATTGGTGTGGTGTCAAAAAGGAAGGCCCAGGCTGCAGGAACAACTGATGTAGTTCAACAGGAAACTGCTTCCCCAAGCAATTCAAACACCAGAAGTTGCATGGCAAATGGTACTTCTGTAAATGGTAGTAGGGTTAGTCCATCACTGAAAAGAAAGAGATCACAAGTGGCAAATGTTCATGAATTCTTGAAAAGGAAAAACCGACGCAGGCCATTAACAAAGGTTTTGGAGAGTACAGCCATGGTATCAGTTCCTGTCATCTGTGATCAGCTTCCGAATCCAACCAGTTCTCCACTTTGTGGGATATCTGATGGAAAAATTTCTGGATTGGATTCCAATGGGTCAAAGAAAGGTATTCCACCGGCTATTCACAATTCTGATGGTAGTGGAGTAGCATGTGATAATGGAACTGCATTAAATGTTCATGAACATGGTTGTGATGCTTCTGAAATTAGTCACAGGGTGAAGGAGAATGAGACTTCTGGCATGTCAGGGTTGGTTGGGGATGCTTCCTCGGATAAGTTATTTGATGTACCATTTGTTGGAGATTTGGGAGAGGAGAAGCACACTCCAGGTATGCTTTAATGATTAGCATTTTGAGTTCTTGAGTGTCTTTTATTTTTATTTTTATGTGATGCAAAGTCGTTTACAACTCTCAGTTGAATACTCTGCAACAGCTTAGTATCAACCCTCGTTGCTTTGGTTATAAGGATTCCTTTATTTTTCCCTCTTACGTGGCTTCTTCTTTTGGATTCGGAAGTGATTTAGGTTTTTAGACCAGTGTGTTGAACCCTATGTTGTATTTCCCTCCTTCTCAATATCTTTCTTCCCATAATTTTTTTAGTTGATATGATTTTAAGATTCTGTTTGCTCTGCTCGCATCCTATCTGATGTTTAGCATTTGGGACTTGGAAAACCCCTTAAAAGTGTGACTAAAATGAACGTGCATACTGGATGAGGCAATTTGAATGAGCTTGGTTCGGGGCTGCTTTGTTTGTCAATAAAGTTTGAGAAACATTGATCCCTAGTTTTGCTCTTGAGTTGCTTGATGTTCTTATGTAGCAGGAATAAATGATTCCAACTTTGCTAGCTTCACCGCCACCTTGGAGACTATTATCTGCTTCTAAGTTCTATCTGGCTATAATATGGTTACTTTTTGTGTGAAGTCATCAATACATACTGGTTGTTGGAAGTGGCTTTGTTGATCTCAAGACATGGACTAAGTGTAAAGTGATCCATTGAGCATGTCAATGCCTACTTATGCTGAAGTATCAATATAATTGCTTCTCTGCTATATTTTTCTCTGTAAAACTCTTATGTTCATTTAGAAGTCGTACAATTTAGTTCTGTTGTTTTTCTTCTCTGCTTTTGCTGCAGTTCGGTTATGCTACTTCTTTGCCTTGTGTAATCTATGATTTCATTAGTTTTAGGGTGGCCAAGCTTTTTGTAGTGACAATTTTCCTTCTGCCAGGCTTTTCACCTGTTATTGTTTCTTGTTCATCTGAAAAGCCTCAAGATGGTGCACTGGGAGAATCTTGTCATGGTGGTCGATTAGAAGCCTTGTCGTCAGCTAACGAGGGCCAAAATGATTCTGGTTGTATGACTCTGGCTGCTGGTCATATGACTCTAGCTGCTGGTCATAATAACATTGGCCATAGTGATGAGAAAGGTAGTTCAAAGTGGCAGTCAAAAGGAAAGAGGAACTCCAGAAATACAAATAAAAATAGGAAACAGGTCTCAAGAAATTATGCGGATGTGGATGGTGAATTCAATGCATATTCAGCAGGCATGGAAAACCCAGATGAATTCTCTCAAGGTGCTGGACAGAAAGTTGATTGGAATACCACAGGAGCACCGACATCCTCATTCCTTTGTTCATCTCAGACCAATTGCAAATCGGTTACTGAAGGCCAACTAGATGGGTTCCGGGGCTTGAGCAAGCATGTCAGGGGTGCAACAGAGGCAAAGCTATTGCCTGATGGATCTCTAACACCTCAGAGATTGCTTCCTTATCGCCAGTCGAGGTTTACTGTTAACTCCAGATATCAGATGGCTGATTTTCCTGGAAGAAATCATTGTTCCGATGCTTCGTTATACGATGTTAAGATAGAAGTTAAAGCCAGCTACCGGCCACAACATGTCCCTTTGGTTTCTCTCATGAGTAAATTGAATGGCAAAGCAATTGTTGGTCATCCTCTTACAGTTGAGCCCTTGAATGATGGACATTGTAATGAAATGTTGAGCAGCATCGGAGGTGACTGGACTAACGGTGGCAATTATCATGCATTTAAACCAAACTCATCCAGTGGAAGACTTCCCAGCAAGAATTTGCCGCGTGTTTCATCAAGTAAATCTTCCAGAACGAAGAAGTCTGGGCTGTTGAATAAAAAGATCCGGAAACTGTCATCACTTACGGGTCACAGGCAATCAGAAGAGGACAGAAAACCAGTGGTAGATAAGTTCAAAGGTCCTGTCATAGCTTGTATCCCCTTAAAAGTAGTATTTAGTAGGATAAACGAGGCAGTGAATGGTCTGGCTCGGCCAACCCACCGTGTATTGCCGGCAACAAACCCTTGACCTGGCAATGATGGGAAGAAGTTACAGTGAATGGGTTTTATGGAGATTTGGTTCTTTAATAATAATCTCGAGGGAATTTGATATAGTTCAGTTTGCAACACAACATATTCTACCATGAAGGTGGAATCTTATGTACAATTTCAAGACATTCCTGAGTAGGGTAGGAGTTTTATCCTTGGCTTCTCTTGGTTTTGTAAATAATGTAAAATTAGGGGAGGTTGTAAAGATGATCTAGTATTAGGTATTGGTGACCTGATATTAGGTTCTTGAAAAGAGTTATGAATTCAGGTTGATTTAGAGGTTCAATAATAGTTTGTCATATTGTATTAGAGTCCAGGACGTGATACTCCATTTCAAACCTCTATGAAATTGAAATCACAGCTGAAAAGAATACAAACATGTGAGAATATTTGTTTCCGTTGTCAGCTCTGGTCTTGATTCTTGATTTCTTTTGCAATTTGTTCGTACTAATTTGCAAGTTACAATCAATATCAATGGAAAGGAAACAGAAGGGGAAGTCCTATTGAAAAATAAAACTCACTGTGCAAAAGTTATATGATTTTAGGGTTTTTGTTTTGAAATTAAATATAAAGTACAGGTGACTTCTTTTTCAAAGTTTTATATAAATTTTATAAATTGTTTTTGTAACTATTTCTATTGATTTCATATGAAAAAAAGGGTTTTCTGACAATGAGGTAATGGTTAAAGTCGTTAGTCGTATGTCAAAAAAGCTTATATTTATTATAAATAATTAATTTTTTAATATTTACCTCGTATATTTACAACTAGAGGTATCATGATTTCGGTCACTATAAATTAATAATCAATGTCTCTGTTTTTCGTCAAGTGAATTATAATTACTTTAAATTTACATATGTATTATTTAATCTAAAATTGATAAGAATATATAAAATTTGGAAATAAATCTAATTATTTGAAAAAATAATTCAAATAATTTTTAGACTATTTATTTCTATCTATCTAGAGGGCTATTCTCTGGCAATAATTTATAACAATTTGTACGAGTATCATTTATAATATATTTTAGAAAATATAATTATTTAAAAGGCCATCCAAAGAACTGGAAATGGGCCAAACTCGCAGGACCCGGATTGAGCATGACAATTAGGGTTTCTCTATTATAAAGATGGTCACAGCCTCCGTTCCTCCCACACTCGGACACTGCCTTGAACAAGCGGAAGCCCTTAGGTGGGTTTTTGCCTCTTGCAGGCAGTTGGGGCTTGCCTAGTGCTTGTTCGATTGCATTTTTGATTATTTTGATCTGTTTCTGCAGCTGAAAGAGAAGATGGCCACAGTACCAGGGCAGCTCGTATGGGAGATCGTGAAGAAGAACAACTCTTTTTTGGTTAAAGAGTTTGGTAGGGGCACTCAGAGCGTCCAATTCAGCAAAGAGAGCAATAATCTTTACAACCTCAACACTTTCAAGCACTCTGGTAAATCTTGTGTATTTTTCATAAAAAATTGCTGCATTTTTCGTCAAGTCATTTACGAGCATTTGATTTGTGGCTACAAGGGTTGTGTTTAAATGTCATTTGTAATTAGAATTTGGGGAGTGCTAAATTTGGATGGAAATGGGTATTATCGGTGATAGCAAACTGTTTTTGAGTTATGGAATAGGAAACAGGTTATCTGATCTTTTGATAGTGCATACCTCTGTTCGAGAGTGGGGAAGTGAACTCAGGGTTCAGTTGGCAGTGAAATTTTGCATTTTGTCCGATCTCTATATGCATTGTTTTTTTTTTAAATTATTTTTTTTAAAGTTTTTGTGTTTGTTGTTAGGTTTGGCCAACAAGAAGACCATCACTATTCAACCTGCTGGTAAAGATCAATCTGTCTTGCTTGCAACTACCAAGACAAAGAAACAGAACAAGCCTGCTTCTTTGCTTCATAAATCTGTCATGAAAAAGGAGTTTCCAAGGATGGCAAAGGCTGTGGTAAACCAGGTATTAATTGACAAACGGGTTGTTTATATATGCAAGTAAACCAAGTTGTTATGTTTAAAGACCTAACAAGTTATTCACTTAAAAACTTAACCTTAAAAAAAGTCTATGAGTTGAAATCTTGTTAACTTTTTTTTTGGGGTGACAAGATTGGTTTTCTCCCGTGTGATGATGAGCCTTAACATGTAAGAAGAGTGCCAAGTTGTGGCTTCTTCAATGAAATATCCTTGTTACGCTTGGCTTCTGAGCTGTTGGAGCTGCCTTTATGTGTCGTCTTGTCTCTTCTTGATATCTTACAAGCTATTGGTCAACTTCGTATGGAACTGGCTGAATAACATAGGGCATTGGTGTTGTTTCACCCGCTAGAATTGATGAATATGTTTGAACGATTATGATGAACAAGAAGGGGGACGCTGTCGGTCATGGTAGGTGGTTGTCAGTATAAATTCGTTGAAAGTAATCTGATTTTACATGTGAGCATGTGTTTTTGCTCGTCTGTCTATTGACACCTTGTTAACTTAATGGTATCAAGACTATATTTATTCCTGCGGTGATGAGCCTTTAACATGTAAGAAGAATCCGCAAGTTGGATTTCTTCTATGAAATATGCTTGTTACGCTTGGCTTCTGAGCTTCTATACTTGCCTTGATGAGCTCCAGTGATCTCTTCCTCATATTCTATACCAAGCTATTTGTGAATGTTGTTTGGGAGTTGCTATATAACATAGGGCATCAGTGAAATTTAATTATTAAATCTGCTAATGAACATGAAAAATTAAGTTTTTTTCCTTGCTCATCTATATGGCTATATATTTAATCTGCATAAATAGTCTCTATATCGATAGTAAGGGGTCAGTTTTGCTTGGTGCATTTTTGTGACATCTAGTTTGCTTTATTGTTCTGTTTCAATACCATGTGTTTGTGTGTGTATTGTTAAGTGTTTGGGTTTGATTCTGAAAGCCAATTAGCAGAGCAAGAGCATCTATTGCAAAAATAAATGGTGCATCGTGCCTTGAAGGTTGGCAAAAATAACTCAACTGGCGATTCTCCGTGCCTATCAAATTGATTTTATATTGTTTTGATGATGGCCTCGAACAAGTCGCTACATCTGTTTTGCTTTATTGTTCTGTTTTATTACCGTGTTTGTGCATGCTGTTTGACAAGTGTTTGGTTGTGAATGTGAAAGCCAATTAGCAGAGCAAGAACATCTATTGCAAAAATAAATGGTGCATCGTGCCTTGAAGGTTGGCAAAAATAACTCGCGATTCTCCGTGCCTATCAAATTGTTTTGATGATGGCCTCGAACAAGTCGCAACATCTGTTTGTATTTGATCTTACTCCCAGTAAATATACAAGGAAAATGGGTTGCACGGCTTAGCCGTGTGCTGTTTCACAGTGATACATTAACAAAGAGCGTCAGTGATGTTTGTACTCACGAAATTGATGGTTATAATGTGTCAACAATTATGTCGGACAACGTAAAGGAAAGATCGCCCCTTTATTTGCCAATTAGTGTTTTACCCCACCAATGATCATTTCAACTCTGGCTTCCAAAAGTTCATGCACTTTAACCTTTCAATCTGTATTTGCTTGTCTTGCATTTTTTCTGTGCTTGTTTGTGTGGATACTTCACAGATTTTTCATTTTCCAATTGTTGCACCTTCGACCTCATCTCTGTTTTGAACATGACGAAGAATCCCTTTTGCATTATAGGTGGCAGACAACCACTACAGGCCTGATCTTAAGAAGGCAGCCCTTGCAAGGTTGAGTGCTGTTCATAGGAGCCTCAAAGTTGGCAAGTCTGGTGTCAAGAAGAGGAACAGGCAGGCCGTGAAGGTCCGTGGCAGAAAGTGAATTGGGAAGAGTTTCTTGCATTCAGCTCTCTAGTGTTCCTTTGCTTTTTGTATTCCTAGAACTTTATATTGAGTTGAGCTCGCTAGGCGCTTCTTATCCTTCTATACAAAATCGAAACTCGAATGGTATAGTTTTTAACTTGTTTAATTTGTTTGCGGCATGATATGCTTCCCTTCTATCTGTTTACATGATATAGCTTCGCATTTGCTTTATTTAAAAAAGGTTGTGATTCAGTTGGACAGATAAACATGTGGTGTTATCAGTGTTTTTGGAATGGGACCGCAATGAGTCGTTCAAGGTCAAGGTCCAATCGTCGGATCGGTTTTTAATAATAATTTTAAAAGTATTTATGACAGAAAATCGTAGGTAATTGTTTTTTTAAATATTCTTGTCATGTATGTGAAATTTATAGTCAAATTACACCAATATTTCAATAGGAATATTTATCATCTATTGCAAATCAGCAAATGTGTCAGATTAATTGTTGAAGCAAATTACATGAGCTTTCACGATTAACCATAAGCATTAATAATTAATGAAAGTTAAAATATATTTAGTCTTTTAATTTTATATATGTTTGATTTTAGTTTTTTAATTTTCAAAAATATATATTTGATTGTTTAATGATAAAATTTATTGGATATTAAATGATATTTTTTTAATAATAATTATGGTTATTTTAAAAATTAAATTTAATATACTAATATTTGAGAATATTTTATTAACATTTAAGATTCTAATGTTATATTTTTTATTTAGAATTTTATGGTTAAAAGACTAAGTATGTTTATTAAAGTTAAAAGGTCTAATTGAAACTCTATAAAATTAAAAAACTAAATGTATATTTTAGTTGTGAATAAATTATTAAATGTATAATACTTTAAATTAAAAATAAACCAAAAGCCAAATAAAGACATAAAAGTAACACTTCTAACTGAAGGGGAAAGAAACCATTTAAAATGCATGTAGAATTTTGAGATCTGATGTTAGATCATAGTGACTATCTTTTGATTAATGAAAAATTTCTTCCACTCGTTCTCAAGGATGTGTTTGCCTGAGATCAAATTGTTAGGGAGGAAAAGGCAGATAAAGGGGGGAGAAGGGTTCATTTGACAAGGCTGTATCATGTATGAACAGTTGATTAACTTTAATTCTCTCAACCTAAGTATGATTTTTACAGTCATTCACCATAAATACCAACTCACATAAAAGTTATTCACACAAAACAATGCAATTTAGTGATCTCTGTAAAAGGAATGTAATTACTCAAAAGGAAATAATTACTATATTTATAAACACCTTCATATGCACGGCAACATATAATATTCCTTACATATAGTCAAAATCTCATTTATACAGTTGCATTGTCAAAATTTTTAAACTGATGAGGCAATAAAATATTGTTTGTCCCCCTTAAATCTCACTCCACACTGTTCAATAGATAGGGTGATTGAACTGTAATTTCCACATTCACACTAAACTAATCTAGGTGAGGTTTTTGTATCCACATAGAAGTGGGGAAGAGAAAGACAACATATGAACTGAAGCAAATTATCTTCTTTAATATGCAAGATCCAGCCACATGATCTTCCTTTCTCTTTCATTTAAAGAGGCCTAAAAGATCATGTGGGTGGTATAAAAAGGAGTCCTTATGATTCACTGCAACTTTTTCGACTCACCAAATCCATCTTCCCAGAAATTGTCCTCAAAAGCTTCTTGGAACACATATCTTGTGCTTGTGTCGCGTATTTTGCACGGTTTGCTTTGACCCAAGCAGGCTCCTGCAGAGAAAATAACCCTCTCCTGTGATTTATCCCACATAATTTTGACATTGGACAAAACATGTAGTCCAAAAGAAAGACCCTATCGACCAGAGAATGGATGTTCTTATAATTTAACTTTTTCGGATGAAAAATCCATCTAGAGACATGATTATCCCAACCTCTACCATTAAGCATTCAACAGTTCAATCCTCGCTATCCAAAAAACTCGTGGTCAAGTGTAAGGGATGATTTTGTTAAATTATTTAATTGAAATGGCAACTCATAATGGGATGAACCCACCTCAGGAACCAAGCGAGAGAAGCCAAACTTAATCAGCAGGAGGACATGTTCCATAATTAGAATGGCTGCAAGTCCAGGCTCTATACTCCATTTTCCTTCCTGATCATATAGCCATACTAAAAGTGCACAGTTGGTGCAGATAGACATCACTATGAGAAACTGTAAAATGAAACACGACCTCTCATAAGCGTGACAAATAAAATGGAACATGTATTAGAAACAAACTTCATGATAAGTCATGATCATAGTTTAAATTTTAAAGCCTCGAGACATTTTAAAATCATGCGTTTAAGATGTGGCTTTGCTCATTCATATTAAAATAAAGTTATTGTATTTGTACAAACATCAAGACCATTCATTCACTTAGGTCAACATAATGATAAAACTTCCTCATGTCTCATGACTCACCAACGGTATAAATATAAAACAGACCGCTTAATCATTATTTATTATGCAATACAGACACCAATATAAATTACCTTCGATTCACTAGAAGCAATTACTCCCTTCATGCCTAAATATAAGTTTCTGTTAACCAATTTGTAGAATCTAAAAAAAGTAGGTAAGTTGGTTATTTGTAATTAATATGCAGAAAATTTGTTGCTTTTCCAGAAATAACCCTGCCATTTAACGGTTAGAATTTAATGCATATAGATAAAAACGCTCCAATAAATTGGGGTATTATGGGGGGGAAAAATTAATAAAGGAGACATCAGGAAATAGAAAATTATATCTAGGACCAAGCAAAAATCCTCAAATGAATCTTATATTTAGGACCAAAGAGAGTATTACTTAGGACTAGTTGCGCTAACTCTTTTTCTCAGCCAATAAAACTTTCCTAAATCCTTAATGGTATGATGGCGTTTTATCATCTTTCACAACCGACATCCTTAAAGCCCTGAAAATAAATACCTGGAATATGTTGAGCCAGGCTCCAACTGTTGCAGCAGCACGAGGAACAGGCCGCCTAAGTATTACTAGCAGCTTCAAAGCATCTGTTCTGATTTCCATAAGGTTGTTCTGAACAATGAAGGAGCTTAAATGTTATTAACTTCACAGAAGCTAATTATGATGAAATTAATGTTTAAAGGCAAAGAAGCTAAGAAAAAGAATTCATACCACAGTGGCAAAAGCAAATGCTGGGGGAAATGCACAAGCAAACATCATAATCATCCCAAACTGCAATGCCAACTCCAAGAAATCTGCGATCAGGTTCAAAATTATTAATAAAATGCAAGTCATTTGCTTTTCGGTCTTCAAATCAAGACTACAAGAGATGAAGCTTCTCACATACGTATTTTTTCTCAAACCATTTAAGCCAAATGTTTATAACGGAACAAGTTGTTCCTTTTACTGGATTTCAATAGTCAATGGGAAATCACTTTCACAAGAGAAATGTACAACCGTAACAATTACAGCTTTATTCTGGATCTAAATGTATAACTTCCGTTTCAAATGTTTCAGAAGTCAATATCATAAATTTGTAGGTTTGACGGATTCGATACCATCAAATAGCCCGTCTTCAAGCTCCTCTCCAATGCTGGCTTTGTAAGCAGGCTTAAGATATTCTTTCTCTGCTCTATGAGTAAACTGGATTTTCCCTGTCATTTCTCCGTTCTCTTTTTTCTTGTTGTGTCTTCAGAAACAAAACCCCAATAAGCTACTGTACCAGTGGTCTATGAAATAAATCCAGCAAAATCCACATCCAAATGATGATAAGGCTTACCGAACCCGGTATTTTTTGTAGCTATATTTAAAATAAGGCAGTATGTTTTCCAACAAGTTTTCGAATACCTGGAAAACGTCCTCAATTTCAATTACAAAACTCAAGGGGTGGAAAAAAGAGGGACCATGGGGAATTATAGGGGAAAATCGAACCGTAAGAAGGAAAGAAGATAGAAAAACGAAATATAAAACTAATGTGTGTGACCTCAGACAAAAGGAGCCGCTGAACTAACACTTTACGAAGAGTCAAAAAGTTCCGATGCAAGAGAGCATGATAAAAAATACCAATATATGTCTGCATAAAGTAAAGACCAAACACCTGCAGAAGAAAGCAATCCCCTTTATTGCAAGTGTTGTAGGAATAAGCGCCTCAGAAAATCAAGTGATTCCCAATAATTACCTTGTAGACCAAGCTGTCAGCCCGTTTTTCAGTGTTTTCATTGTTCTCATACCTTATAAGTTTGACAGATACCTTGCCACAAAACTGGGTGATATACTGAATGGCGAAAAGATAAAGAGCGGTGAGCCCAAACCTGAAACCCAAATGTTAAACTAGTGTCAGTGTATCATTTTAATGAACAAAACGTAATAACTTACATGACAGTCAAAAAGACGTCTAACACATAATTATAGACTACTAGTCAGTGTAAACAGCCTTTTTCTACAAGTGCCATCTAAGATACTAGATTTGTCTCTCCTGTGCAATGCACAGGGTACCAGGTATGTTTGATCGTGAAATTCGAATCATTAAAACGTAAATGACATTGCTTCACAGATTTCAGTACAGTTTCTAAAGTCAATTTGGCACCGGAGAATAGTCAACAACTAGCTTTGTGAGAACGGATTCAAAATTTGAGGAAATAAAGTAGCCAGGAAAACTTTATCATCTTCCTTATTTAGAACAGACAACAATGTAGTATTGCATTTAACACATGGCAAATATTGAGAACCTGACAGAGGCAGGCATAAAATGTTCACTTAAAACTAGAAATTAGAAGCTCAAAAGAGTAAAATCTTAGATTCTTACTTAATTAGATCAGAATCAATAACTTCATAAAGATGTGCGTAAGCCAACTCAAATGGCAACTGGAGGCATATTATGCTGACAATTATGATGGCATCATTTCTAAATCGCATGAGTCGCCCAAACCACTCATGTCTCTGGAATACTTCCTTCCCTTTCATTTTATCAGTATCTAATAATTTTATGAGTTCATTTTGTAGCGGTAGGGAACTTTCCTTGCTGCCTGGAATCTTATATCCTTGGTCTGCTGTAACCGAAGAGTCAATAGACCATCTACAGAATCCAATCAAGAAATAAAAAGCACCGAGGGGAGGAAGAGAGAGGTGCAAAGGAAAACCTTAGTAGGGGAATGAAGCACATAGAGAAGTAAATACAATGGTCACACACACACACAGGGGGACACAAAAAGTATACCTGGCTAGTAGGGCAGAATTT